CATTGGCATGAGGAGTGTGGAGACGGGGTGCATGACGAAACGACCTTTCAGTGGGGGGAGTTCATATTCGCTGACAATGTACGCGGTAAGACCGCTGGCAGAGGATATACACAGCAGAGGGGAGGGGGACGACAAGGCGCAGGAGGCAGAGGAAGAGGCCGAGAACCCTACAACCCGAATCAGAGCTGGCGTTTTAACGCGCGTCCGCAGTATCAGCAGGAGCCGCAAGAAAAGGAGGCGACAGATGAGAACCCAGGCGGGAAGGATAGCCCAATGGAAGGGGATTCAGGGGGCCTGTCTCCTGGTTTGTCCGGGACCTTAGTGTCATCTAACAAGCGTAATTCTGTTGAAAATGTGGCGAGTGGTTCAGGGGCATCGCTGGATGGAGGTGGACAAGGGGAGCGCATGGAGCTGATAGTTCATGATACTAGGGTTCCACCTCTCCCACCTGTTTATGTATCACCGAGGAAGGAACGGAAGAGGCCAAAGAAGGCAGGTATGTCAGAAGAAACACTCGAGGAGGTCAATGCGGGGATGTCAACCATAAATGCAACAACGGCGGGCTCCGATCAGGAGCGCCGCCGAGCACAATGAGTATCTTATGTTGGAACTGTCGCGGCGTGGGCAAAGCCGCGACAGTTAGAGAGCTTCGCGATTTAGCGAGGAATTTTGCCCCTACCCTGTTATGTATTGTTGAAACTCAGATCGATGGATCTAGGGTAGAAAGGTTAGCAGGAACTATTGGCTATGATAATGGCTATGCAGTTAGTAGTCAAGGTAGAAGTGGTGGTTTAGGTTTTTTCTGGAATAATCCAATAAAGATCGAAATTCTTGGTTACTCGGTGTATCATATTGATTGCTCTGTGGAGGAGCCAGGAAGTGAACCATGGAGAATGACGTTGTTTTATGGAGAAGCAAGAACACACTTGAGACACCAAACATGGGATGTTATGAAGGGGATAAGCAATTTGAGCGAGCTACCGTGGGTTTGCATTGGTGATTTCAACGAAGTTTTACGTCCGGATGAACAAGAGGGAGTGGGAGAAAGGAGTAATGCTCAAATACAGGGATTCCGAGACGCGGTTGACATTTGCATGTTGATGGACATGGGCTATCAAGGCCATTTTTGGACTTATGAGAAGAAGGTGGTGGGTGGAACCTACACGCGAGTTAGGCTGGATCGAGCGATGGCCACAGCAGAATGGAATGAGATGTTTTCCCAAGCATACCTGAAACACTTAACGGCATCGACATCTGATCATTGCCCGATTTTGCTGGAATTTCGAGGGAGAGACCGCCCGCACCTAAAGAAGGAGTTCAAGTACGAAGTCATGTGGGAAACGCATGAGACTTGGCCGGAGACGATTATGTCCACATGGACAGAAGGCGGAGCAACGGGTACAGTAGAAGAGCTCAGCAGGAAATTGAAAAGGATCTTGGGGAATCTGGAAGCATGGAATAAGAACACCTTCGGCTCCGTCAGAAAAGAGATAAAACATCTGAAAAATGAACTAGAAAGGCTGCGAGCGGACCCTGCAAGGACAGCACCCTCGCATATAGAGCTCAAGATAAACGAGAAGCTAATAGAAATGTATCACAGGGAGGAGCTCATGTGGAGACAGCGTTCAAGATTAGAATGGCTCTCAGCTGGGGACCGCAATACATGATTTTTTCATCTCAGAGCAAGTCAACGGAGGAAAAGGAATATGATAAAGGCACTGGCCAACTCCTTGGGAGTCACGATAGATGACCTGACAGAATTAAGATCCATGGTTCGGGATTTCTACCTCACTTTGTATACGTCCGAAGGAGTAGATGGCATGGAGGAGGTGCTATCCAAAGTTCCTGTCAAAGTCACAAACGAGATGAACGAGATGCTTTTGGCGCCATATTCGAAGGAAGAGGTAAAAAAGGCTTTGTTCCAAATGTTCCCTACTAAGGCGCCGGGACCGGATGGGTTCCCAGCGCATTTCTACCAGCGGCACTGGGATATATGCGGAGATGAGGTGACGAAAGTAGTCTTGAGAATTATCAAAGGGGAAGAGGGGGCTGGCGTTGTCAACGACACAGTGCTAGTTCTCATCCCCAAGGTTTTGAATCCAACACAACTCTCTCAATTCCGTCCCATTAGTCTTTGCAATGTAATCTATAAAATTGCCTCCAAGGTTGTCTCTAACAGGCTAAAGATAGTCCTCCCTGACATAATATCCGAGGAGCAGTCTGCTTTTGTTCCAGGAAGGCTAATTACAGATAACATTATTTGTGCATATGAGTGCTTACACTTTATGAAGAGGAGCAGGGCAAAATCCAACAGCTTCTGTGCGCTGAAGCTGGACATGATGAAAGCCTACGACAGACTAGAGTGGCCGTACCTTCGAGCAATGATGGAGAAATTGGGCTTTGCACAAAGTTGGATTCAGATAGTGATGGATATGGTACAATCAGTATCTTTTTCAGTTCTATTCAATGGTGAGAAACTGGAACATTTCACACCCACACGAGGCATCCGACAGGGAGATCCTATCTCCCCTTACCTTTTCTTGATTGCAGCAGAGGGCCTTTCGTGCCTGTTAAAATCTAACTCTCAGTCGTCAGGTTTGGAAGGGATCAAGGTGGCACCATCAGCTCCGTCTGTAAACCACCTCCTTTTTGCTGATGATAGCCTGCTGCTTTTTAAGTCAAGTGTTGAGGGCGCGACAATGGTTTCAAACCTATTGGATGTGTATTGCAAGGCTTCTGGACAGCGGATAAACAATGATAAATCTTCAATTTTTTTCAGCAAAGGATGCCCCCAAGTGGTAAGGGACGATGTTAAACTGATCCTCAATGTTCACAATGAGTCTCTGAGCGACAGGTATTTGGGAATGCCCACTGATGTAGGGCAATCCAAGATGGGTACTTTCAAGTACTTAAGAGACAGGGTATGGGAAAAGGTTCGAGGGTGGATGGAGAAATTACTCTCAGCTGCAGGGAAGGAAGTGTTGATAAAATCCGTGGCACAGGCTATCCCAGTATACTCAATGGCTTGCTTCAGATTACCAAGGGGCTTGTGTGAGAACATCACTTCAATAATCAGACAGTTTTGGTGGGGGAGTAAACAAGGCAGAAGAAAACCGGCCTGGGTTTCTTGGGACGTTATGACAAAGCCAAAATACCTAGGTGGCATGGGTTTTAGAGATATTGAGGTTTTCAATCTCGCTCTACTAGCTCGACAGGCATGGAGACTCATGGATGATCCTACATCGCTTAGTGCAAAATTGCTTAAAGCTGCTTACTATCCAGTGAGTAGTTTCATGGAAGCCGAGCTGGGCAATCACCCATCGCAAATATGGCGGGCGGTGATTGATGGAAGAGAAGTCTTGAAACAGGGCTTAATCCGAAGAGTTGGAAACGGGAGATCAACAGATATTTGGAACACCAACTGGATTCCAAGAACTGGCCCCATGAGACCAATTACTTCCATCTCAGCTAATCCTCCGAGGTTAGTGTCAGAGTTGATTGATCCCACATCTGCTTCATGGAGAGAGGGTCT